CAAAGGAAAACACTACAGAAGCCTTTAAGGTTTATTATCAAGATAGTCTACCCTTAAACAGAGGGTTTGGCCTCTTTAAATAGGCCTTACAACTCCAAATCCGACTCCCAAAAGGAAAACACCTCTAATCCAACTCCAAGAAGAAAAAACAATGCAAAACTCGGTTTTAAGGCCCCCAAACCCATTAAGAACCCGTTAAGCCCAAAACAGACCCAAAACCCATTAGGACTGGTTCTTTGTGATCTGTCTTCTCTTCAACTCGTCCTCCTTCTTCCAACACTTGAATCATCATGAATGAACTTCCTCGAAGTAGCTCCACGTCCATGGCTCCAAAATTCCTCTCCAAATATGCAGCAAGCTTCTCTTTCAATCTTCTAGCCTTGGCTGGCCCATTGATGTCCTCATCAGTTTCACTCAATGGAACATTAGAAATACTTTGTTACCTTCAAGAACAATATATGTGATTGTTCTATTATGGTATTATCAAAGAGAGACTTGCCAACATTCCCGACTAGCTACGAGTCATGCACTACCAGCACACAGACGGCAAACCCAACCAGTGAAGGAAAATAGGTGGAAGAGAGAGAATGCAGTAAAGAAAAGGCTAAAGTAGCATGCTTTCACGTTTCTATAATAACCTAGAGCTCCCTGGCAACGGCGCCAAAAAGTTGACACGCTAAAACACAACACCAACCTGCGACCAAGTGTAATTGCAGAATGGAAATGCAGTATAGTGGAATCAAGTAATAAATGTCAAACCAGGGCCTAGATGGAATTCCTACTCTGTGTGATTATCTATTATCCAGTGGGGAAAGTTTAGTGAGAATGAGTTTAAACTAAAGCAGAAAGAAAACAGTAAATTGTTTGGTTTCCTGAAGCAAGAGAAGAGTCACTCGGGAATGAGCCCCCCTAGCTCCTTAGTTAGGTCCAAGCTGTAATTTCCTCAGGTTGATTTACTGTTGATTAAACTGCGGAAGATCCGATAGTAACTTGGAATCTCTTAAGCTGACCAAGCCCTCTTAGACAGACTAACCGAAAAACGACTAGTCTTCACCAGGATAGAAAGCTAAGGCAATTAACACAAAACTCCACTATTGGAACCAGATTCCAGTACAAAGCAGTGAATCGACTAACTCTTGCATAATCAATTCATTCCTATCAATTGAAGAAGCTCTAACAACCTAATCACATTTTATCTATCTCAGATTGCACCAGAAATAAAAAACAAGTTGACCAGGATTCAATTGACTCAATAAACACACTTCAATCAATTATAATCAAACAATATATGAATCCAAAAGTCATTACAATCAAATCCCTAACACATGAAACTAGGGTTCTTCATACCCAAGTGAGAGAAAGTTCTACTCCATAGAGAGAGAGAGAGAGAGAGAGAGGAAACCAGAAATCAAAGCAGTCATACTCATAAAGATAAGAATGATCCGCTCTGGGATGTCAGTCTTCACTCCTGGGGATGCAATCTGAGCTTCAATGGTGAGAAATCCACTCCAAATAGCTCCTAGGGTTTGTTCTTCGCACTTTCTCTCTCTAGAAATCTGTTTTTGGTTCCAAAAAGTTGAATCCACTTCTCCAAAACCCGAAATTGGGTTAAGATGCAGCTGCCCGCGATTGCACGATCAGGTCGCACGGTCGTGCAACATCCTTGGCTGCCCGTGCAACCGAAACGTAGCGTTTGAATTAGTTCTGCGAGGGGAGTGCACGACCCCTGCAATTCGAGGGCCTGACCGTGCAACTTCTCGCAGAATTCATCACGACCAGAACATAAGTCGTGCACGACCGTGCGAGAACAGGTTCAGGCCGTGTGAAGTCTCGGTAAATCCCACACGGCCAAAAGGGTCACTTACACGACCCGTACTGCCTTCCCGTGCAAAAAGGGTGTTGCACGGCCAAGTTGCACGGTCGTGCGAAAACAAGGTCGGGCCGTGTGGCTGCCTCTTCTGCCCATCAACTGTCCAAACTTTGTCCAATCGACCCCGAACTCATGCCCAATCCTTCATTCACGTACTAGGACCTGAAATATCACAAACAAGAACACCCTAGCGTGAAATCGGCCTAAAACACGAGAGACGAGGCTCAACAGTATAAGAATAGTGGACAAAAACATGTGTAAATATCGAGTCATCAAATTCCCCCACACTTAATTGTTTGCTTGTCCCCAAGCAAACCTTACTCAAACCAATGCAGCTCTCTAGACCTTTATAGCAACATGCAACCCCGATCATCGGTAGAGGATTTCCTAGATTATTTAGCAACTTACAAGGTCAATTGGTCTTCTAAGACGTCCCCTATCTCTCTCAATGCGAGTACTAGACTAAAGCAAGGATTATGAGAAGCAGTGGAACTAAGAAAGTCAATTCATCGATAAGGAGACTCACACAATTTAACGACCAATGACTCTTTGTATCGGGTGCTCTTTCATTTCATCTCACTTGTTGGAACCCCCTTTTCCTTATTGTTTGTTTCTTTTTCTTTTGTTTTACTTTGTTGGGGTTCCAACTGCAGTTTTTTTGCGCGGTCGGCCCTTATTAATTGAGCAAGAGCAATTTATGTACATCTTCCGCTCTCCAGAGTACTTCTTTTAACTCCTATTCCTCACTTCGTGTGGAGGGTCAATAAAATTAAGGGGGGTCAGAAGCTCTATCCGTGCCCTTAAAAAACACATACTCGAGTAGGCAAACTGTTCAACGGGTGGATATTTTACTTGTACTAGAGACGGTTTAGCTTCACCTTGTAGGCCTACCCCACTAAGGATCACTAAAATCTCTTCCAAAATCCATTTTTGTGCAATGAACGATGCCAAACACATTGGGCTTACCCCATGTTTTAAAATTTCAAATTTTTGACATGGAGGATTAACTGCTTTTTATTTTACACAATTGAGCACCCTTTTTCGATACACGAGTCCACAACACAACATAAGGAGAGTCATCAATACCACATGAATCAACGGTCCTAAATCCACTAGTTCACAACATCAACCGGCACAGCAGAGAGACAGGTAGGAAAAATCTTTTACTTCAACATCCTCCATAGTGCTACAACTATCTCCTAGGTTGCATATCAACATAAAGACTGTCAATTCAAAGCATACTGAGCAGGTTATTGTAGGGAACAGTACTTGGAGCCTTCAATTCATCAAATTGGAAAGTGGTCTAGGATCCAAGCGCACAAACTCATCTATGCAGTCAAAGATAAACACCCCCCACACTTAAGCACGCACGTCAGTGCCCTCAACGGAGAAGAGGAAAGATAAGGGGAACGCTGTTACCGTGAAAACAGACCGTTGTGGGACTAGAATGTGACCACGCATCAGGGGAAGATTGGAAGGTGGACCAGTTGAAAGGCACAGAGCTAGAGTCATCAAAACACACTAGGTGATAGAAACCATAGTTCCAAGTGGAAAAATCGAGCTAGAGTCATCACCTCCCAGATACATGTTGAGGAGGGGGTCGTTCACCTTAAACGGCTCGGTTTAAGCTTTGTTGATCTCCATCGCACCATGCGGGAACACCTGGGTGACCGTGAATGGTCTCGACCACCTCTTCTTCACGGTTAAATCCTCTTCTTCACGGTCTTGCATGAACGTGAACTCCCTCAGTTAGCCGTGAACTGGCTCTTTTTCACCTCTTCTCCCAGTTTTCGATCCTTTTTGCCAATCTTTCGACTCCGCGGCTGGTTTTACCTGTATAATCCCGAAACACACTCAAACATGAAGAACCTAGCGTAAAACCAGCCTTTTTGGAGCGAATTTGGCACAAACATCTAAGTAAAACGGGGGCAAAACATGTGCAATTGGGCCCGAATCACTCCCCCACACTTAGACGTTTGCTTGTCCCCAAGCAAACCATTTCACGCACACGGTAATATTTCAACCTACACAAATACTTTGGGGACAACTCAAAGGGCACAAAACAGGAATTCTCGATGTTTATTGACAATCAACACATGAAACGTTGCAAGCAATATCGACATCCACCACAAACTACATTCAAAGCCATCAAAACGGGCAAATGAAAAGTTCTCAACCTATTCATGGATAAATGCAAGTCTCAACAAAACCACTTATCGACCACAACCAACCATGCATGGAATTCAAGTCCAAGGAACAAATGGAAAGGCAACAAGGATCCTCACCGGGGTATGAAATGGTAAGTAAAACAAGAATGGATCACTTACTCTCAATTACAGTGGGTCGGGACCTTTTTGGCGCAATAGATGTGCATAATCATAACCTCTCAGCCCTATTGTCTCAATACCACGGCGGTAACCTCTAAACGCTAGAGTTCATGGGGTGGTTGTCACTACTAGCTCGTCCGGAGCTCTTAGACACAGGTGCAGATGACTGGCGATTGGCTTGGACAAGGGGAAAAGGCTTTTTGAGTGGTGGCAGTCATGACTGTACATGAGCATTGGGCCATGCTTGGGCCGACACGACATGTGCATGCTTCAAGCCCATTTATTTCGTTCTGTGCTTGGCACGGCCCGTCAGTTTCTGTGTTGTGCCATGCAAGCCCATTTGTTAACTTTGCTAGGCCTGGCCCAGGCCTGGGCACGGTTCGAATCGTATCGTGCATATTCGTGCTTGTGCCATGCTTGTATTCGTGTTTAATGAAAAGGAAGAAAAAAAGAGAGAATGACAAATAAGGTGAAAATTGGACGGAGTAAGATAGTATTAATCGATAATGTTTGAGAAAAATAACAAATTAGGGGGAAAAGAAAATTGGAAGTATAGCGATCTTTATCCATTTTTACTTATGTTAGTAATTACGGATATATCTTTATGACACTTCTAACAACAAAAAATAATTATTTTTCTACTTGTGTGTTTGTAATATTTGAACCTATAATTCTTTTTATATTTATTTTCTATCAAATAAATATTATTTGTGTGCCATGTTCGTTCTTATACTCAATAGAGTCTCGAAAATATTAGGCCCAACACGGCCCACTTATATACCGTGCTCGTGCCCGTGAAGTTTAGGCCTGGCACGACCCATAAACTATTCGTGCTCGTGCCGGGCTGGCCCATTTATTTCGTGCCTGTGCGCGTGCTGTGTCGTGCTAGCCCGTGGGCGGCACGGCCTGGTGCCCACGTACAGTCATGACGTGAGGTTCTACATCTTCAACCAAAACCCGAAGGGTATATGGTTTCTACTAAAACCCTTCTCTTCAATCAAAGGCCACTAGCATCGGCCAAAATCCTTATCTCTCCCTTCCAACTATCACCCATCATGAACTACCTTGAAGCACTCATCATCGGTCAACTCTTGCTAGCTCTTTAAGGTTTCGTAGTGAAGGAGTTCTAAACAATGTGGGGGTTTTGATGGCTTGGATGCCAAGAAACCTCCCTAGAGCATGTATTTTGTTTTTTCGTGGCACTCTCTACTTTATTTACCCCACTTTATTACCTCTTTTTCGTTTCTCTTTTTTTTATTCTTTTTGAGGGGGGTACTAGAGAATAAAAACACTTGCCACCTAAACATTTAACAACCAATGCTCACTTTTTTAGGAACTCACTCCAACACTACACTTCATTTTGCATTCCTAGCAAGAACCGCACACAAACCACCTATTTAGAACCTCTATGGAAACTCAAAGGTGAGAGCTCCGGAACCCACGGGCGACTCATGTTTAGACACGAAGAAAGGATTTGGCGGTCGTTCTACTAACACCTTTAAGCTCACACGAAACAAGCTCCTAAATTGAGAACGACCCACAGAGTCACATGGCTCAAAGGGGTTGACTAAGGGATGATACATTTCGGGAAAATCAACGTTTGGGCGTGGACTCATCCTATGCCTCCATCGTACTTGCTAGTGACAACCGTGATGCTACACACCGTGGTAAGAGGGAACTATCACACCAAAAGAAACGATCGGCTCCAAGCTCACAGGCTACCTAGTTACCCAACCATCTATTCCAATTCACAAACAAGATGCATGGAAATTATAAACAACAAGTGATCACATCAAGACATCCATTCATTTATGCACACCTGAGAACTAAAATTTTGCCCTATCCTAATGAACTTCTCAGTCATCATCATAGGATATACTTGATCACATGCAACAATTCAAGATCAATGCCATAAACACGAGAATTTCCCACCATCCGGCCACTTTGATCATGCAAACATTGATTGGAGCCCTCAAATTTTGAATTTTGGGCATACAAAAGGCTCCAAGCAAAATCTCACTCACACAATCATACTAGTAGACTACCCCCCCCCCCCCCATCCCCCCACACTTAAACTCTGCATTTCCCTCAATGGCGTAAGAAAGGGGTAGAGTGATGTTACCGCTTGGGCTTGGTGAGTCAAGGTAGGAATCTAACCGGGGTAGGACAATTTGAGCTTCAATGAGAGACAACAAAAAACACACACAGACACAATATGACTCGCTCTTGGCGAGGTTATTACAAGCACAATACGTATTAGTAGTTTATGTCACACACACAGATAACAAAAACAAAAAAAAAAACAAGTTGGGTTATGATGACTCGATATTTGCACATGTTTCCCCCTTTGTTTCTTGATCGTTTAAGCTTGCATTATCGCTTCTTTGGCCTATTTTACGCTAGTTTGTGTTCCTTTGTCACATTTTAGGTCCTAGCACATAAAGTGAAGCGTAGGCGCAAGTTTCAAGTCAATCGGAGATCATTTGCCGACTCGGGGGAAGAAACTTGGGTATAACTTGAAGAAGAATGGATTTATACCTCAGATTGTGACCATATAATCATGTGATCTTGTCATGAGAATAAAGAGGACGAGACTACGAGCATCGGGGATCAAACAGCACCTGATTTGGAGTCCGAACGAGGGAGAAACGAAGAATCAAAGTTAGGGGAAAATTGGTTTCGGGCTTCTATGAGAAACAGAAGGGGGCCTTGTCGTAATGCTCAAATCCCCAGTAGGGGATTCTTGGCCTTGACCGGGGATTTTCCCCTGTCTCCCGACGGTGCGTTTCAACAATCCCCAATCACCACCTAAAATACCCGGCCGGGTATAATGATCGGAGATCGCGAACGCAGGCTGTTAAAAGCCTGTTTTGTGCGTTTTTGCAAGGGAGAGCTGGGTTTTGGATCCCAAACACCCAAGGGAAGAACCAAAGAGAGAGAGGGCGATTTGAGGGCATTCTTGGAGTGGAAGTGGAGGATTTCTTTGCCTTGGAAGCTCGAGGAATAAGCCCGGACTTGAAGAATGATCATCTGAAGATTCTTACTGCAGTCTCTCTCTTCTCTATGGAGTAACTTCCCTTCACTTAGGTTTTGAGGAACCCTAGCTATGTTTGTTTGATTGGATGATTGTATGAGTACTCTGACTTGATAACCATGAGTTCATATTCAATCTATGCATGTTTTCATGATTCAATTCTGCTTTAGTCGAGATTATTGATTCTGCTTTGATCCTATGAGAGCGAATGCCTGATTAGGTCAATAGAGCACCATAGATTGATAGTATTGGATCGATTGCTTTAGTTGAGGGTTGGTTCACTGCTTTGTATCGATTGAGAACCTCATTCGATAGAGGGAATCTAGTTCAGAACGCCTTGATCGGTTGTTCTAGAGAAGGATACGTCCCTCTAGGCAATTGACTCAAGAGGGCCTTGTTCCTTTAGTCGAGACTCAAGGTCTAGTCAAGGATTCTCCGCATTGTGAATGAAATTGAAACAAGTTAGAAATCATCAATCGTTAATCTGGCTAGTGGCTAGGGGGAATCATACCTAAGTGAGTTCCCAACCTGTAATTAGATTAACTTTAACTGTAGTTTGCTAGAGTATTTTTAGTTCTTTCATCTTAATCTGGTTTGCTAAATAATAAACTGAAGCTGAGTAATAGTAACTCTAGAGACCCGTGGATTCGATATTTATCACTTGAGCCACTATACTGCAGTCCCTTTCATCGGTTACACTTGGCCTTTGTTAGGAGTTGTGTCATAGCGAGTCAAGTTTTTGGCGCCGTTGGCGGGGACTTTCTAGAGTATTAGGAAAGGGAGAAGTTTGTTACTTTAGCGTTTTTATTTTTTTTTATTTTCCACCCTTGTTTTTCACTTTGGTGTTTTTGTTTCTATTGGTTCAGATTTGAATCATGGATCCTCATGGCTTCTCCAATCATTAGGGGTATCCACCACCATCCGAGTGGTATTACCCCGAGACTCCCTGGAGCAATCAAGGAGGAGAAGACTATGGATTCGGGTTCCAGTACCAACCCCCTTACTACGGAGAACAACCGGACCCCTGGGCATATCAAGATCAACCTCATTACCAAGAATAATTTCTCCCACAACCAGAAGGGCCATCGGCGCTAGAGTTACCCATGGCGGCCTTCACGGGCCATTCTACAGAGCCATGCTACACTCCACAGTCAGATCCAAACTATGAATTGAGGCTTCTCGTGGAGCAGTATGCTCGCAAGATGGACCTCCTTTTCTCATCTGTTGCTCCTCCTAACTCTTCATCCCTCCGTGAATCGGATGAGACTGTTTCGCACTCATCAAAGCAACCAGAGCGGGTTGAGCAAGTTTGTGCACAACTTGCTCAAGATCACCCGTCTGCTACCATACTAGAAGAGGAGGAGGAAGAAGAAGGCTACAAGGACATTGTGGAGAAAACAGAGATTATCACGGAGAGCTCCCGTGAAGATCATGATCAAGAATGTCATGTCGTAGCCGACCACCCCTTCCCACATCCCACACCGAGCTTTGAAGAGGCGGGCATGAGTGAGGAGATGCAAGAAGATCTCATGAAAGAAATTGCTTGGCAACTTGCTCTCCAATCCGTGCTAGAAGAAGAAGAGCAAGAAAGGGCGCAGAAAGAAGTTGTGGAGGATGATGAAAGTGAAGCAGGAGGAGTTCTTGATCATTTCCCTGGGGTGATACCACATGTAGAAGAAAGGGAGGTTGAAGAAGCAATTGGCGTCCAGGCTGAGGACGAAGTTGAGGTGGAAGAGGCTTGCACCGGCTATGAGTTACTTGTGATTTCTCCACCAAATTTCGAGGAGCTGCTTGGCAAGGACCCATTGCAGTGTCTCTTTGCCAGACCAAGGCCACATCGACATCGGTTCCTCTTGGTGGACGCGATGGTGGTCAATCGATGTTGTCATATATGGTTTGGGGAAATGAGACGAGAGAAGAGAAGAAGAGGTCTCGAGGGTGGAGACGTTATCTGCATCAAGTGCACGAGCTTCCATCACCTGTCATACCACTTGCTTGTGACTTGAGACTCCACCTCATCGACGAGAACCTCAACTTCAAGGAGGTTTTGGGGTGGACCGAAACTTAGGAGCCATCGTCCGGCTCATGACGTGAAAGAAGCGCTTGTTGGGAGGCAACCCAACCAGTCGATTTGCATTTCTTTCCCTATTTCTCTTCGGTTGAGTCAGTTTTTTTCTTTGATTTTAGAGTCAATAACTCAACCTTTGTGAGATTTTATGTGGTGTTTGTGTTCTGACTACTCTCTCCTCCTGGAATGCACCGCCTGCCCCGTCCACCATCATTCACCCTTGATATGGTAACTTCGTTCTACCCTCCTTATCTTTCCTCCATTAAGGACAATGTCGTGCTTAAGTGTGGGGGGATGTTCAATTATGTATGCAGGTGAATGTTTGGCTGTTTGTGTGCTTGGAGCCTAGTCCACTGTCCAAAATTTTTAATTTGAGGGCTCCAAGTACGTGTTTCCTTGCAAATTGCCTACTTAGTATGCTTTGAATTGACAGTCTCTATAGTAATGTGCAACCTAGGGAGGTAGTGTAGCACTATGGAGGATGTTGAAGTATAAGATTTTTCCTATCTAGCTCTCTGCTGTGCCAGTTGATTTTGTGAATTAGTGGAGCTAAGACCGTTGAATTCATGTGGTAATGGTGACTCTGATTGGATTGTGTTAGGGACTAGTGTATCGAACATGGTGCTCATGTGAAAAATGAAATATAGTTGGTCCTCCATGTCAAAATCATTAAATCATAACCATGGGGTAAGCCCAACGTGTGCGGCACCGTTCATTGCACAAAATCGGGTTTTGGAAGAGATTTTAGTGATCCTTAGTGGGGTACTCCTACAAGGTGAAGCTAAGCTGTCTCTAGTACAAGTAAAACTTCCACCCGTTGAACGGTTTGCCTACTTGAGGATGTGTTTTTAAGGGCACAGATAAAGCTTCCGACCCCCCTAAATCTCATTGACCCTCCACACGAATTGAGGAAAAGGAGTTAAAAGAAGTACTCTGGCGAGCGCCAGATGTACAGAAATGGCTCTTGCTCGACTAATAAGGGTCGACCGTGCAAAAGACTGCAGTTGGAACCCCGGCTAAGTGAATGAAAAGAAAAAAAAAAGAAAAAAAATGAAAGTGAAAAAGGGGTTCCAACGGTGAAATGAAGTGAAAGATCACCCCGGTACAACGGGTCCTTGGTTGTGAATGATATGAGTCCCTTTATCCATGAACTGACTGTCTTACTTCTACTTCTTCTCATGATCCTGGCTTGAGTCTAGTACTCGCATTGAGAGAGATAGGGAACGTCTTAGAAGACCAGTTGACCTCGTAAGCTGCTATATGATCTAGGAAATCTTCTACCGACGATCGGGGTTGTATGTTGCTATAGAGGTCTGGAGAGATGCATTGGTTTGAGTTAGGTTTGCTTGGGGACAAGCAAACGGTTAAGTGTGGGGGGATTTGATGACTCGATATTTGCACATGTTTTCCCCTTTGTTTCTTGATCGTTTAAGCTTGCATTATCGCTTCTTTGGCCTATTTTACGCTAGGTTGTGTTCCTTTGTCACATTTTAGGTCCTAGCACATAAAGTGAAGCGTAGGCGCAAGTTTCAAGTCAATCGGAGATCATTTGGCGACTCGGGGGAAGAAACTCGGGTATGACTTGAAGAAGAATGGATTTCTACCTACGCTTGGGACCATATAATCATGTAATCTTATCATGAGAAGAAAGAGGACGAGACTACGAGCTTCTGGGATCAAACGGCACCTGATTTGGAGTCCGAACGAGGGAGAAACGAAGAATCAAAGTTAGGGGAAAATTGGTTTCGGGCTTCTCTGAGAAACAGAAGGGGGCCCTGTCGTGATACTAAAATCCCTGGTAGGAGATTCTTGGCCTTGACCGGGGATTTTCCCCTGTCTCCCGACGGTGCCTTTCAATAATCCCCGGTCGCCACCTAAAATACCCAATCGGGTATTATGACCGGGGATCGCGAACGCATGCTGTTAAAAGCCTGTTTTGTGCGTTTTTGCAAGGGAGAGCTGGGTTTTGGATCCCAAACACCCAAGGGACGAACCAAAGAGAGAGACGGCGATTTGAGGGAATTCTTGGAGTGGAACTGGAGGATTTCTTTGCCTTGGAAGCTCGAGGAATAAGCTCGGACTTGAAGACTGATCATCTGAAGATTCTTACTGCAGTCTCTCTCTTCTCTATGGAGTAACTTCCCTTCACTTAGGTTTTGAGGAACCCTAGCTATGTTTGTTTGATTGGATGATTGTATGAGTACTCTGACTTGATAACCTTGAGTTCATATTCAATCTATGCATGTTTTCATGATTCAATTCTGTTTTAGTCGAGATTATTGATTCTGCTTTGATCCTATGAGAGCGAATACCTGATTAGGTCAATAGAGCACCATAGATTGATAGTATTGGATCGATTGCTTTAGTCGAGGATTGGTTCACTGCTTTGTATCGATTGAGAACCTCATTCGATAGAGGGAATCTAGTTCAGAATGCCTTGATCGGTTGTTCTAGAGAAGGATACGTCCCTCTAGGAAATTGACTCAAGAGGGCCTTGTTCCTTTAGTCGAGACTCAAGGTCTAGTCAAGGATTCTCCGCATTGTGAATGAAAGTGAAACAAGTTAGAAATCATCAATCGTTAATCTGGCTAGTGGCTAGGGGGAATCATACCTAAGTGAGTTCCCAACCTGTAATTAGATTAACTTTAACTATAGTTTGCTAGAGTATTTTTAGTTCTTTCATCTTAATCTGGTTTGCTAAATAATAAACTGAAGTTGAGTAATAGTAACTCTAGAGACCCGTGGATTCGATATTTATCACTTGAGCCACTATACTGCAGTCCCTTTCATTGGTTACACTTGGCCTTTGTTAGGAGTTGTGCCATGGCGAGTCAGGTTACAAGTAGAGAAGTGGGGCGAAAGGACTCCGCTCTGCCTCATGTCTATCTCGTCGACTACCTCTCTCCGGTGGATGGACCCTCTCCATCATTGATTAGGATACCCTGGTGGCGAGCCATAAGCTCGAGAGTGTCGGACTGCCGGTCGAGGCGGGATGAGAGTCCCATGAAGCTCGTCTCAAGGCGATCCACCCTCTGGACGAGGGGATCGCCTGCTCATGGTGGTGGTGGCTGCTGTGCAGGGCGAGGGAGCGCTGGGCGGCGGCGGCGGCCGGGTGCACGAGCAGGTGTCTGCTCTGCTGCTAGTGGGGCCTCGGGGTCGGGACTCAATCCCTTGATGTACCGCATTGGGCCAAAGCTGTACAATAAGCGCATGGAGTGAAGAGTGCCTTCGTCAAATCTCTGGGTGGCTCCCTCTTTCGAGCATCCTGAAAGGCTGACATTGAAGTATCGGGCAAGGCGACTGATGTACGGACCCATGGATGTGGCCATGACTGAACCCAGGTGCAAAGTGCTAGACCGGTTCGCCATGCAAGAACATGCCAGTAGGATTCTCTCAGTTATCTTGTTCAGATTGTGGTAAGCCGGGTAGAGGGAATGAGTCACGAGTGTCAGCATGACACGCCACTGGGGCTAGAGTGTGGATGTCGTTGTGATGGCCGACTTGAATTTCGTCCTTCTGTACTTTGGAAGGAAAATCTTCAGAAACGCGACATTCACGTCAAAACTTCGGATGGCATCTTTCTCCCACTCGTCCCTACGATTGGCTTCCATTCAGAGGGCTCTGGCTAACTCGTCATAGCTCAAATCACGAGGTTCCCCTCCCAATCGGAACTCGACCCGGCGTACCGGATTACCGAGTAGGCATAGGCTCTTGCGTATGGAGAAGGTGCTGAAAAACTCGACGCAAAGCTCCAGTAAGTGTCATCGTCAAGATCAAGGGCTTGGCGCCATTGGGGGTGCACCACTGCCTCTCTTATAGCGTCACCGCAATGAAGCCTATCGAACTGGGTGAAGTCGAGTTTCCAATGGTTACCGACTCTTGAAGATGCCCAAAAAAACGCATCTTGCTCTATTTTAGGGCTTCTCCTTATCGCCACGAGATATGGGTGATCCATGTTAACTATCCTGCACAAACTGAGAAGCATGCAGCATACGTGGAAACAATCGTCAATAATGCACATTGGTAGGAAAAGAAATTCCCCCACACTTGTTTTCACACCATGGTTATAAAAAATTTAAGCTCAAACCACCGTGGTAAGGTTGTGGGTATATCACGGTTTAAGCACACAAAAAGTTGAACCCCTACCCCTACCACGGTGGCTACCATCCACCAAACAAAAACAACCTCCACTTGCATTCATAACAAATCACTTGGTGGACAAATTCTAAAAATAAGCGCAATTCGATTCAAACACGCCCACCAAGGCTCACTAATCTCATGCAATTATCAATCCATCAATCACACGACCTAATTCACCTAAGTCCTTGCCCTAAATCTAGATTAAATCATGCAAAGCACAAAAATTCAACCTCACTTCACTACCTAATCCGATTCTCCACAATTCACAAAGGTAGAGTCGAAAACAAACCTGGAGACACAAGTGGGACGTAAGAGGAAGTGAGGTGCAGGCGAGGATGGTGAAAATGGTAGGAAAACTGACCGGAGAGGGGTCGTCGGAGCTTCGTCGGAAGCTCGCCGGAGACTCGTCGCCGGTGACTTGGCTGAAAAAAAGGGCTCCAAATCTCCCCAAAATCTCAGCACAGGCAGGTTTTGAGGACAGGAGGCTGGATATGACGTTGGTTTTTGGTTTTGCTCGCTAGAAATGGGGGAAAGCTCGAAAAAGCGACGGGTTTTTGCATTTTCCGTGGAAGATTTGAATTTTCCGGAGAGAATTTGGTCGTGAAGTGAAGAGTCGCCGTTCACGCCCCTTTTATAGGCACGAATTGGAGTTCATGAATGCGTTGCCCAGTTCATGGTCTTAGTGACCGTGAACTCTCAAACGCATCCGTGAACACGGAGTGGTTGACAGGTTGTGAACATGCACCAGTACCTTGTTCACGGAAGAGTTTTCATGTTCACGGTCTTATAAGACCGTGAACTCAACATTCCGTCCGTGAACTACAGTGAAAACAAGGCACCTCTACTAAAATTTTGACTCAACCTATTCCTCCGTGCCTCCTAATCGATTCCATCACAACCAAAAACCGCAAATACACAACACTAGGCATGGGGACACCACTTCACCACTCGAACCCTTCACATGACACTAAAACGAAAACTAAAGAAAAGAAAACAAACCTCCGTTAGGTTGCCTCCCAAAAAACACTTGTTTATCGTCATTATCTTGACGATTGGGGATCAATCACGACTTCAAACGTGATGCCACCGAGAGCGGATCCACCACACTCTAGGGGCGAGGCTTGTAGCCTCCCATCTTAGGCTCCTTGAGTTGGCCCTCTTGGTTGGCCAACATTACTTCGGCCTCTCCCTTCTTTCGGGCCAAAGCTCCCTTCATCCTTCTTCTCCAAGCATTCAATCTCGGTTATTTGGGCTTAGGACCCTTCTTACCTTCATGCTCAACATCATCAAAGCCAACACAAGTAACGGTGGGGTTTGCCTTGAGAGGCTCTCCTCCACTCTTATTCACATCATTTGAAATCACTCCCTTCACTTCATCACTCCTAACCCTAGGATCAATTTCAAGCTTGATTCTCTCCTTACCATACCTCAAAATTAGGGTTCCCTCATTAACGTCTATCAATGCCTTGGCGGTTGCAAGAAAGGGACGACCGAGGATGAGGGGCATATCTGAGTCCTCACTTATGTCGAGAATCACGAAATCGGTCGGATAGCAAAACTTTTCCACTCTCACCATCATGTCCTCCACTATACCTCTCGAGCTAATGACCAAACGGTCGACTAAGGTGATGCTAAGCTTGGAGGTCTTAAGTTCACCTACTTCTAACTTTTTGAAAAGCTTGTAAGGCATCACATTCACACTAGCTTCTAGGTCCGCCAAGGCATTGTCTATATGGTGTTCACCAATATCAAGAAGGATAGTAAAGCTACCTGGGTCGGACAACTTTTTGGGCAATCACTCGAGGAGGAAAGCCGAGCACAACTCGCCAAGGGTCACATTGGCGAGGCCTTCAAGCTTGGGCTTTTTGGTGAGGAATCCCTTGAGGTGCTTAGCATATCGGGGCATTTGAGCAATGGCTTCACGGAACGGGATGTTGAGGTGGAGGTTGCAGAGCATTTCCATGAAATCGCAACACTCGTTCTCCAACCTCTCCTTGTACATCCTTGTGAGATAAGGAAGAGGTGGTGTGTATCCATCCTCCGACAATTGCTTCCTTGCCGGCTTCCTCTCATTCCTTGAGGGCTTCTTCTCTCCCTTCTTCGGGATGGTTTCTTCCTTGTTGGAATCTTCCTCCTCTATCACTTCTTTCGTGGCGACTTCCGGAAACACCTTCACACTTCTCACTTGAAGTCCATTTACCCCGGCTTGGTCCTTGGGGTTCACCACGTTTTGGGAAGGTAAGGCTCCATTGGGTCTCTCGATGAGGATACCGGCAAGGTTGCCGATTTTCACATCCAAGCTTTGAAGGCTCGCTGATGACTTCGGAGACCCGCCTCAACCGAGGTAAACTTGGTAGTTGCCACATCCATAAATTGCTCAATCTTTTCAAACTTTTGGCTACTCGTACTCACAAAGGTGTTCACTAGGTCTTCAAGCTTGGATAACTTGTCGGGTTGGTGTTGTTGTTGTAAACCTAGGGCACCTTGTGATTGGTATGGTTGTTGGAATTTTGAGCCTTGGAGTTGGGGTCTTTGTTGGATGAAGGTGGGCCGAGGTTGGAAGTTTCCAGTGGGGCCTTGGAAACCCGGGAACCTCGGATTAGTCGGTGATGAGCAAGCAAAGTTGGGGTGGTTCCTCCATTCGGGGTTACACGTATTGCTATACGGGTTGTTGACCCTATCATTTGCCACGAAGTTGACTTGTTCCTCCGAAGTGGTTGCCTCCTTCATTGCTTGGCACTCCACTATCTCGTGGCTAGTGCTTGAACACCAGTCGCACGACATTACCGCCCGTTTTCCTGGACTTTTATCTTCAAGCATAACCTCAAGCAACTTATCCAACTTCGCCTCAAGTGGGGCACTCGCTCCCACGCTTCTCACTCCCCTATCATTGCTCCTTCTTACACTTCTAGTCAACCCCCAATCATACCCCCTAAGGGCCATTTCTTCAAGTATCACGGTTATTTGGGGTGGAGCCATATTCATCAATTTCCCTTAACACAAGGAGTCAATGAGGATTTTATCTTCTTGCATTAGGCCTCCATAGAAGGTTTCGATCTGGAACTGTTCTTCAAACCCGTAGTGAGGGCACTGAAGAAAGTAATCGGAGTACCTCTACCAAGCATCCCTCAAGGTCTCGTTCTCTTCTTGCTCAAAATGTGTAATCTTCTTTCTCCACTCCACCGTCTTCAAAGGTGGGCAATAACGAGCCATAAACTTGTTGAGGAGGTCGTCCCATGAGGTGATAGACCGAGGTGGGCGATTGTTAAGCCACCTAAGTGCTTTCCCCGAGAGTGAGTAAGGGAAAAGCCTTAGTTTCAAAGCTTCGGCCGGCACACCATTAATTTTCAAACTCCCCGCGAGCTCCAAGAATCTCTGCACGCGCTCTCTTGGTGACTCGCTCTCAAGGCCGTGGAATATAAAATTACTTTGTATCATAGTCACTATAGCCGACTTGATCTCGAAATTGTTTGCCGCCACTGGAGGATGTAGGATTGGCGATTGAATGTCTGCCAGCCTTGGGGACATATAGTACCCCATCGTCCTCGGGGAATCCTCTTCCTCTGCCTCATCGTTCACTTGACAGGCTTGAGAAGCTCTATCTGGCCTTTGGTTCCCCGCCATTTCCACTTCAATGACGGGTTCAACTTCCACTTCTTCAACTACTTCTCCCCTAACACTGGGACCCAAACGTTATCCCCCTCTTTCACTTCTTCTCCTTGCCTCCGCTAGCTCTCTCTCCCATGCTAGGAGTCGGAGAGTTCAGTTTGTGTCCTCGTCAAGCGGTAGCAAAGGTGTCGGGTTGCTCCGGGTCATGCACCACCTACACACAATTGGAAAACACACCAAGTCTAGCACAAGCCAATAAGACACACTTGTAAAACTGCAAAATTAAAAGCTAGATTAACAGCCAACAACTTTTTCAGAATAACAGACTGTTATCCCCGACAACGGCGCCAAAAACTTGACTCGCACGAAACTACACCACAATAAAATCCCAACTAGAGTCCAAGTTTTTAAACTCTAATCCGTCTACCCCTAATTCGGTTGTTGAAATCATTATCTAGCGACAAAACTTTGGTTTAAAGGTTTGCTAATTGAAATGAAAGAAAGCAAAGGTAATTTGGTTTGAAAACTCTTTTGTGGGAAAGTCACTCGGGTGTCGCTTCCCCCTAACCGCTACCATGCTATGTGGATTGGAATGATTGTCTTGGGCACGTTAATCGTGAACCGCAGAGGAATGCATATGTGGTCGGAGACCACAGTCTCAATTGCTAAACCGAGGTAAGGATGAAAGGTCGTGTCACTCGCCCCTCTCGGTTTAGACAATTGGTAATTGACTTACTCCCTCACTCAACTCTAAGGTCAGATGGTTTAATCACGATTAATCAACTTGCTTAACTCAATATTGAGGGTCTCCCTAAATTAACCTAGTTTAGGTGGCTTAGAAAGAGGAGGGAAAACCAACTCGATTGAGTCTCCCTCGAAAGGGGGATTTTCCTCTCTAAGCTAGGCTAAGGTGGCAAATTAGATTACTAGCACCTAAATGCACAAACCTAGGGGTGCTAAGCACAATTATGCACAATCCTTATGTTACTAAGCACCTAAATGCACAAACCTAAGGATGCTAAGCACAAAACATGCACAACCCCTAGGGGTGCTAAGCACAAAACATGCTCACAGTCTTCTTGGCCCTTGTGTTGAGCTTTCCTTGGAGTAATTCTTCCCGAAATCTGCCTTGAAGCCAAACCCTAACCATCTTCTTCCCTTGGGTTCGATTTCTCTCACTAGAATGCTGAAGAAGGTGTTTCACACAAAAGTGGGCTCTATCCTCTCTCCTCTTTTCAGCTCATCTTTTAAACCCGAGATGAGCTGAGTTCTTGGCCTGAGTTCACAGCCGTGAACCATGTAACGCGTTCGTGAACTCCAGGCGGGCGCCAAAATGCGTCGTATCGCTCACGTCTATTCACAGTCAACTGCCTTTGTTCACGGTCTTAGTGACCGTGTACTCACCTTACGTCAGTAACCTTCACATTGGCTCTGGACGCCTCGCGATTCACGGTCAACTCCTCTTCTTCACGATCTTGCATGACCGTGAACTCCCTCAGTTAGCCGTGAACTGGCTCTTTTTTCACCTCTTCTCCCGGTTTTCGATCCTTTTCGCCAATCTTTCGACTCTGAGATGGTTTCACCTGTTAAATCCTGAAACACACTCAAACACGAAGAACCTAGCGTAAAACCAGCCTTTTAGGATCGAATTTGGGATAAACATCTAAGTAAAACGGGGGCAAAACATTTGCAATTAGTCTCGAATCACCCATAGTAGATGGGCTGCAAGTGTTTCTCGCGTCTCTGACCTAGAACAGCTCCGACTGCATAGTCACTCGCATCACACATCAGCTCGATGGGAAGAGACCAATCCGGAGTCACCATGATGGGTGCATGGGTAAGCTTCTCCTTCAAGGTCTCGAATGCAGTTGTGCGCTCTAGAGTGAACTGAAATGGTGCATCCTTCTCCAACTGTTTAGTCAAAAGCAGGGCAATTTTCGAGAAGTCCTTAATGAAGCGTCGGTAGAAACCTGCATGACATAGAAAGCTGCG